AATAGAACAAACAAGACGCGAAATGAATGCATCCACTGGTTCACCAGATGCTTGTTTCAGCTGCGAAAAATTGTACCGAGAAGTGTAAGTGTTCACTCGAACATCCCAATGTTTATCGAGGGCCGATAAGGACTCTGTCAAGGTGGGTTTCTCCCGCAAGTTTAGATCATCAAATATACGTCGACCCTCTGAGCCGAGGTGCAAGCGCTAAATCTTTAAAGTATCCTGTTTTCAGCGTCACGGATGGATTGAGAACTGGTAGCACAGAAATACAATCTGGATGAAAACCTTATCAAATATAATCTGAAAACCTAATTTTCCAGTTTTCCCAGCATTTGGGGTAACCGCAGTCAGTCCAGAAGGGTGCATGGGCAGTAGCATGCAAAGACGTCGGTAACACGCGACGCCAATTTGTAGTATCCCGGAAAAGCAGCAGACCAGAGCAGCACCGGAACGTATGTATGGAGAAAACTGTCCGCACACACGCGGAGCACAATTAAATTGATATACGAATTGCAACCAATCAAATGCGAGAGCACATGGGAGGCGAACGAGTGCTAAATAGAAGTGTGAGTAGGATAAGCGAATAGAGGGCAAAAACAAAGCAGTGTTTGAACACGACGCATTGAAATTGACTTTCGCATCAAGTTCAGTCTCGTTTTTGACCTGCGTTGTGGTAAATTACGAGACGATACCACCTCTTTAAGTGTACCCTGCAAACTAGCTTCAGTAAATTATCTCGGGCTCCGTATTCTCATATCTGACTGCTCGCAGTACTCTTCGCTGCTCCGGTAGTTTCCGTCGCTAATTCGAGCAAGTAACGACACCTCCGAATCCAAACACGAGGTGCGCAACCACACCGTTACAACCGGTCCGCCAGTAACTGCTAGGTCCAGACGCTTACGCCTCGACAAACTTCAAGCAGCTAGAAAGGAATACGAAGATATGCTTGCTCTCGGAATGGTTCGCCGTTCAAACAGCTGCTGGGCATCACCTCTCCATCCGGTGTCTAAAATGTCCCGTGATTGGTGATCGTGCGGTAACTACCAAGCCCTTAACAACGTCACTGCTCCGGATAGGTATCCTATACTACATATCCATGATTTCTCGCTTGAAATAGCCAGAAAGTCGGTCTTCTCCAAACTTGACTTACTCAGAACTTAACATCACATTTCTATGGCGGAGAAAGACATCGGGCAGACTGCAGTGACTACTCCATTTGACCTATACGAATTTCTTCGTATGCCTTTCGGCCTCCGTAACGCAGCACAGTCTTTCCAACACATTATGGATCAGGTCCCCTGTGGCCTTGATTTCGTCAACGTTTACATAGACAATGTTTTATAGCAAGCGAGAACCCTAACAAGCACCTATCACACCTCCGAATGGTTTTTGAACGCGGAATAACCATCAAGACAGACAAACGCACATTTGCTCAACCCATTCTTGAGTTTCTCGGTCACATGATCTATGGTAATGACATCGAACTTCTTCCGGATAAGATCCAAGCGGTCCTAGACTACCCCATGTCACAATATGTCAGGAGCCTACGCCGATTTTTCGGCATGTTCAACTAATACGGCAGATTCCTGCCCAACTGTGCTGACTTACTTCGTTCGCTCACTGACATGCTGAAAAGAAGATTCAAAGACGTTCACAATAACCCCAGAAGTTAAAGCAGAAGTTTAATAAGGTCACGTCTCTTCACCACTTGAACAACAACAACGAGGACGTTACACTTGTCCTTAAGACAGATGCGCCAAGTTCCGCTGTCGGTGCAGGCTTGCATCAGTTAGTCGGTAATGAATTTCAACCACTGTGCTTTTTCTCGCGGAAGCTACAATCTGCTCAGGTCAGGCATAGCGCCTTTGGTCGTGAACTTCTCAAAATGTACTTGGCTGTGAAACATTTCCGTCACCTTCAGGAGGGACGCCGTTTCATTCTCCGGACAGATCACAAACCTTTGGTGTACGCTTTCCGCCTGCTTCGGACCGAGAAACGCGTCATCTGGGCTACCTATCACAATTCTGTGTAGACGTCCGTTACATCGACGGTTCCAACGACGCTGTTGCAGATACATTATCGCGTGCTCATCTGAATCAACTGTCACCGACACTCATCGACCTGAAGAGATTATGTGCCACCCAAGCCTATGATTTTGAGCTTATCCAACTTCAATCAAACAACTCATTAAAATTCGTGCATTTACCTGTGCTTAACTGACACAAAAGTTTATTGTGATATTTCAACTGGTAAGCCTAAACCTTTTGTACCACAAATCATTTTCGATCATTTTCACGGTATATCACACCCGAGCATCCGTTCTACCGTAAAGCCCATTACTGACCGATTCATCGGATAATATACGTTCGGACATTCGACAGTGGGCTAAAGATTGTCTTAATGGCCAGACTAGTAAAATTTATCGCCAGTCACTACCTGTGATGCACGTTTCAGACATGTTCACGTGGATGTAGTTGGTCCATTACCTCCTTCCAACAGTTTCACTTATCTTTTGACATGCCTCGACCGTTTTTCCCGTTGGCCACGAGCTGTTCCAGTAGGTGATACGTCTACTGAATCTGTTGCTCGTGCCTTTGTTAAATCCTGGATTTCTCTGTTTGGTGTTCCAGCCACCATCACTACCGACAAGGGGACTCAGTTCAGTCCCACAGTTTTGTGATTTGTGTCGTTTGTTAGATTGTGCTCACATACGAACAATCACGTACCATGCCGCCGCCAATGGCCTCGCTGAGCGCTTTCATCGAGAATTGAAAGCCGCCATTATGTCCATTTCACCCGATTCACATTGGTCCGAGTGTCTCCCTGCGATCCTCCTTAGCAATCGCAATACCATCGAAAAGGACATTGGGTGCTGCCTTACAGAACTTGAGTTCGGTACGAACCTCGGACTGCCTGGTGAAATGGCACTTGAGTCTCGCATCACCGGAGAACTAGACCCCACATCGCCATCGCAACGAGACTGGACCTTACCGTGGTGCGACGGTTTGTGTGCCTCAGTGATCCATTGAGCTATGCTGGGTGGTGCTTTTGCACCTTCAGAGCCACTCATGGTCAATGGTTAGAGGCCAGACAAACTCAGCCTTCTGGTCCTCTAGGTTGGAGGTTTGAATGAGGATGGCTCCTTATTCCTTAAAACGGAATCCTTGTAGCCCAACGCCAAACCCGCTGCCTTGCGGTCAGGTTTTTGAACCAAAGGCTTTGGTTAAGAACCCTAATCGTTCTCCTGTCTAGGTCTGGGCAACCTGACAGTATCCTGCTCACGCAATACTATGAACCTTACGTCAAACAAATTCCTGATGCTCTGGCCACCGCAGAGGATAATCAACGGTGCCCTATCTGCTGCATCGAGCAGGGTAGATAGGGGTCTGAATGCTACTGCTCAAGCCTTACGCTTTTTTTGCCTTATGGTCCCGTTCCAACTCCACTTTTATCCCCCCCCCCAGTTTTCAACCCCCGGTTCTTGGCCCTCCCCCAACATGTTTCGCTAGGTGTTTATCTTCTAGTTTCAACTCACATGCAAACGCGGAGCGCCACTCCTCTCCTGTCGACAAGCCCATGTCCAACCAAGCGGTCCACCCTAGTTCATCGGCTTCCATTTGGAGCCCTCGGTTCTCCTTCAGATTGGCATGCCTTAATGTACGTACATTGCTACAGATCGGTCAACAGGCAGCAATTGCTCGAACTCGATCGATATCTGCTGCTTATCGGAGACCCGCCTGCAAGACTCGAGCTCTGTGCTCACTTTGCGATCCCCTTCAGGTGACACCAGCAGTATTTTCTCATTGCGCCTATCCGGTGACGATGCAGCTTCGAGCACCGGCCAAGCTGGTGTTGGCATTGCCTTGAGTCCCCGGGCTGAAGCTGCTCTGGTTGATTGGGTCCCAGTCAGTAGCCGGATGTGTGCGGTTCAACTGGCTGACTCGTTCAAAGCTTCGAAGTCGCGCGGGACTACTGGGTGTCTATTCATCATCGCTGCATACGCGCCCACAAACAGTAGCGATGATTCGGTAAAAACGACTTCTACCGCCAACTTACTAAGCTCCTTCGCCACAGAAAAAGCACGGACACTGTTGTGCTGGCAGGAGATCTGAACGCTCAAGATGGGAAGTTGTCCACTGATGAAATGCATCTGGACGGTCAGTACGGTGTAGACTCCCGTAATGATAACGGTGAGCGGTTACTACGTTTGTGTGAAGATACTCGCTTATTTCTTGCGTGCACTAACTTCCGACACAGCACCCGCCGGAGAGTGACTTGGCGCCCACCAGCCTTGGGCGCAAATCGATCACACTGCCATAAGTTACCGATGGAGAGTCTACATCCAGAACTGTCGCTCGATTTGGAGCACTTGTGTGGACACCGACCATGCACTTGTATGTGCTGACATGCGGATGCGTTTTGGCGGACGCCCACGACAACGTTGTGAGCGCATTGACACCAGCCAACTGTTCTGAATGCCTATCAAAGTACGCTGACATGGGCGTTGAGTAAGCGCTAACTGGAGACGACTGAAGGTCACTGGTCGCATGTTCACCAGACATACAAGCAGCTGGTAAATCATTGTGTTAAGTCTACTAGCCAAATTGGACATTGGGTCTCTTCGCGGTCTCCGGAAATTATCGATGCTCGCCGGCATATTCCGGCTGGAAGCGAACACAATGAAATTCGCAACGAGCTCCGGGTAAACCTCCGTGAGAGCCTGAAGAAAGACCGCCAATCCTGGTGATCTCATCGTGCGACAGAGATAAAAATGGCCGCTGCCCTTGGTAACCATCAAAATTTATTCCGTCTGATACGGGAAACGGGCAGCAAGAGACCTGGTGAAAGTGAAACAATTTGTGACGAGAGTGGACAGCCTATCCACAATTTGCCAAAATGTTTGGAGCGTTGGGCTGAGCATTTTGACAAGCAATTTAATCGGTCGGAATTACTCGATTTCTCACCGGCCAGTGATCGCCCTATTCCGTGGGCTGTACCTTTGCATCCACCAGCTCGCTCAGGAATCAAATGTGAGATCGGACTGTTGAAGTTGAACAAAGCCGAGGCACCAGATGATCGCCATCCAGCCCACTCCAAATTCGGGGGCCATGCTCTTGTAGACGATTTACACGAATTACCAGTGAAACTGTGGGAGCAAGAAACTGGCGCAACTGATTGGAGCCGCTCCGTTATTGTTCCCATCTTCAAAGGAGGCTCGCGTTCGGAATGCGGCAACCATAAAGGAATCACTCTGATCCCCATCGCCTCCAACTTACTTGCCTCCGTAATCCTTCACAGATTGATTGGCGTTTGTGAAAGTCAGATTCGTGAGGAGCAAGCTGGGTTTCGTCAGGGTCGTGGCTGCATCGATCACATCTTCACCTTGCGTCCGTTGTTGGAGCACCGTCACACATATTGGCGGCCCACTGTAGTCGTGTTCCTCGACATCAAAGGTGCCTTCGATTCGGTAGATCGATGTGCCGTGTGGAACTGTCTACTCAGGAAAGGTGTGTCCGAGGAATATGTAAATATTATTCGAACATTATACGCGCGTAGCACGGGCAGAGTGAGGGCTTACGGCAAGCTGTCGCCACCCTTCAATATCTCCAGCCGTGTGAGACAAGGATGCCCGTTGTCACCTTTCCTCTTCAACTTCGCTATTGACAAAGTCATGGAGATTGCATTTACAGGACACGAATTAGGTGTGCAGCTACTCTCAGGAGAACGACTTCTTGACTTGGAGTATGCTGACAACATTGTCCTCATCTGTGACAGCTTCCAGACGTGCCAAGCTGCACTAGACAAATTAGAACTAGCTGGCAACCGCTTCGGGCTTTGCTTTGCACCATCGAAGTGCAAAGCTTTCCTCCAAGATTGGCCTTGACCGCCTCCTGAGCTAACCCCCGGTGAGGATCAGGTAGAAGTCGTTCGGAAATTCAACTACCTGGGAAGTTGTAACAGCGTCCTTGGGATTGAAGATGAGATCACGAACCGTATATCAAAAGCACGAAGTGCTTTTGCTAGTCTTCGCCACCTATGGCGCCGGCGAGACATCACTTTCTCCCTGAAGGGTAGAATGTACAATGCAGCGATAGGTTCGACCTTACTGTATGGTTGCGAAACCTGGCCCTTTAGATCAGCAGACATAACGAGGCTAGTTACGTGCGATCACCGGTACCTTCGCAATGTAGCTTACATTTGGTGGGAACACTGCGTGGGCAACGATCATGTTCGACGCTTTGTTTACGGCACAGGAAAAGCAACTGAACCGCTCAGCACCGTCATTTCACGCACCAGGCTCCGATGGCACATGCCAGCACACCGACTCCCGCAACGTGCGTTGTTTGCTCACCGGAGGTGTGGATAGAAGAGGAGAGGTGGCCAAGCGATGACTTGGCCGAAAGGAATGAAGGCTGTTACTTCGAAGCTGGCCTCGGTTGGAGCTTCACGGCGCGCTGATTGGAGTCCAAAAGACGATGAACACGTTCGGCTAGATACACTTGCTGACATGGCTAGGAGCCGACCTCAGTAGCGTTCCTGCTGAGTTTCTTTGTCCCTCCCCATCCCTTTTAGCCTACCCTTCAACCACGATCTCATTTCGTAGTATAATATAATTTTACATCATAATTTTTCTTGTTGCCTAGTAGCCGGCTGGTAGCTTTCCGGAACGATGCCCATCCGTTACTGGTAGCTCAGCTGGCATGCAACTGTTGTATTTATTTTCTTTTTTATGTATTGCGGCACAGTAGGTGAGGTGTTTTACACCTCTAGCTAACGTGTATAATGATGATGATGAGACCCCACATCGTATGCTGAACGTCTCAAACAACATTTCCGAGCCCTTTGACCGACGTCTACGCGATCTAACGTGTGTAAACAGCACACTCACCCCGATTTGCACAATTGTCCATTTGTCTTAATCCGCGTCGACACCGTCCGAAGACCTTTGGCCCAGCCCTATGAAAGCCGAGGTCTTACATCAGAAATCGAAGTATTTCGTTTTGAAGGAGAATGAATGAAAAGAACCAGTAAACATCGATCGCCTCAAACCTGCATATGTTGAACCATCAGTTGGTAATACCGACCCTGTTTCCTCCCCCCCCCCCCCAGAACACACCCGTCACTGACTCATTATCCCCTACCAAACAACCTATTGACACTAGTATATCGAATCCTATGTGCCTTCTAAACACGAGCAGCTCTACACACACACGTTCTGGTCGAGTTGTTTCTCTTCCGCCCACGCTTTCTCAATACCTTCCATTGGTATCTTGTAGAGCGTTTCTTCCCAGTGCACGCTCTAGGGGGGAATACTGTAGCGATTGTAAACAATTTGCTTATTTTTGTTTATACGCTTCCACATTTCGCTGCAGTTCATGTACAGTTTTGTTTTAATTAACCGTATGTACAACAACGCGTCCAAGCCCGTCTTCGCGTAATTCTTCCTTGGTTGCCACTGGTTTGTTGTGATTTTGCGTTCTGCTGCCTGACTGATCCACTGTGGGAATATACGTACGTATACCTCGGCATAGCTTGCGATCTACCGTCGTCAGACGCTGAAGCGGACCAGAATCTCTTTAATGTGTGGTGAACCGAATCTTTAATTGATATGGTATTCTTATTTAACGGTTCCCCACAAGGTCCATGTGTAAAGTCACAGGCACATAAATTACACGAAGGCCGATTGGGAGAGGTGGAAACTTAGGCACCGCCTTTGACCGAGGTTCACGATCAAAAGAATGATTTGTAGTGGCACCCACTCCTTTCATAATCGGGTTGGATGAGTATGGCTAAAATGTGGTCTTAACATTGTACACTCGTAGGGTGGAGCAACTGGCCGTCCAAGTGGCTGGACACCTGGTGATACTAATGAACTCCGATTTGCTTGCGTTAAGAGGGAGTTGCATTTCAGTGGACCATGTTGACTGTTGATCTAAGTCATGCTGGAGGCGAGCACAGTCGTCCTGGTTCTCAATGATCCTCCAGATTTCCAAATCATCTGCAAATAGGGCACATGGTGACTGGATCTGTTGCGGAAGATCGTTGATATGAATAAGAAATAATATTGGCACAAGTACAGTTCCTTGATGCACGCCACTGGTCGATGGGAACCAGTCTGTCAGGTAGTCATTGACCTGTACTCTAAACTTTCGTACCACTGAAGTAGCGTGCCACCGATTCCGTAGGTCCTCGGTTGACGAAGAAGTACCTCGTGGTTCACTTTGTCAAAAGCCTTACTAAAGTCGATGTACACCAGCTCATCATCCTTCCGTTCATTGACAGCTCGTACCCACTGGTAGTTTGTGTAGATCAAGTTGGCGATGAAGGATCGCGTTTTCGCAAAGCCGTGTTGCGATGGCGTCAATACGTCCATCGATCCGAAGAACGACAGCAGACCCTTTTTCACTACCTTCTCGAGAATTTTGGATAATATCGAAGTCAAATAGACCGGTCTATAGTTCTCAATTTTACTCGGATCACCACCCTTGGGAAGCGGTCTCACTATCGAGCATTTCCAGTCTTTGGGGACAGATCCTTCAGAGAGTGATTTATTGAATAGGCTTGCCACGACTGGTGAGATGACATTCGATAGGGACTTGAGTATTAGTGGGTGAAGTCCCTCTGGTCCGTGGGGCTTTGCACCATCGAGGTTGACGATTAGCTGATACACTTCGATTGCATCACATTGTAGGCTGTCGAGGAAGACTGGCGCAACCTGTGCTGGTACTGGAATAGCCGCCGATTTACTGGAAAATACGGTGAGGAAGTGCGTAGCCAAGGCGTCTGCGCGCTCCGCGGTTGTAATGAACCTGTCTGTCCAAACTCTCTAAGACCGGTAAGTCGCCCCCAGATTTCAGTTAACGTTTCAAGTAGGCAAATATTCTTTTGGGTGCAGTTGTGGCCGGGGATGCTAGCTCCTCTTCGAACTGCCGGCGTTCCTTGTTCCTTGCAGCATTACAAATGTTACGCAGTTTCTTGTACACCGTGTAATCATCACGACCTGAAATGATGTATCTATCCTAAAGTTTGCGACGCCGTCGCGCTAACTGTCTATATTCCAGATTACTCAAGGTCACTATACGGTCCGTATCCTCGCGGCTCTCGCTTTTTTGTGGACCATTCATCACCATTTCACTGCACAGTACCTAGCGTGCATTCATTCTACTCGGGATCATCTTCTTTACACGGTGGATGCATTCCACCCGGACTATTCCCATCGCTTCAACCTCTAGCTTGTGTCTGTGTTTTTCGCGGAGTTTGCCGGGGAATTCACACGCAAAACCTCTCCAGTCTGCAGCTTTTCGTGGATTTTTTTACAACCCTTCGGATTTTTACATCATTCGATAGAGAAATCTTTCCGCTTGCTAACAAGCCTTCAGGCGCTTCACAACACCACTGTGCATAACAGTTACAGAAGAAATTCATTTTTAACTTGCGCACTCAAGCGCCCAGCAAACTTCACGATCGCCATCGCATCTCGGCCAGATCAATTTCAATCCCTCAGACGACCCAAGCACGTCCTACACGGCATATTCAAACGTGACCGCATGACGCACAGGCCCATCACGCGTAAGTCGATCAACGTGTCCTCCGACCACAAGCGGACAAGACGGCGAAGCACACCTACCACGCACGACACCAAACTAGCCCGTGAACCGGGCCGTGCCACTTCGCTGCAGTCGACCATGACCAATGTAACAAGGGGAGAAGTTACAAGTGGTGCTGAGTCACTTGCCCAGACAGTGGAATCGGGCCAGCATTGTGCGTTGTGTTCCGTTAATCATAGTCCGATTACTGAGGCTAACAAGCACAACAATCTGTCCGAGTCTCTTTCGTTCTGACTTAATTGCACAATGGTTCCCATAGTAAAATGCGTAATTGCTTTGTCGAAAGATTACGACCGTCGGATTGCAGAAATAGAATTACGCCTAAATGAAAGAATTATTTCCTTAGAGGCTATTATTGCAAAGTTTGTATCTCCACCATCTCCCGTACTCACCGCCACTAAACCGAAGAAAAGAGCCAGACGTTCTCGCGAAATCACAGCGGCGAATATCTTGGGAACCCCGAACCAATCAGGCATCACGTACGAACAAAACATCCTCAGTTCCTCAGCCATTCCGCCCTTATCCAAAGCCTCGGTAAGAACCAGACTTCCGACTGACCAACAAAGTCCGAGTATCTCTAAAGGCCAATCAACTTACGCAGCGACTATTGCTAGAGACACTGTAAACAAGACTTTAAGCACAATATCTGCGACA